CCTTCCTAACATGCTCATAGAGTCTATGTCATCAAATTCCTAACTCCAATTCATGTAACCAAGAGCTGCATCCTTAGACGGTTAGCTTATTCCTGGTAGTTCAGAGCAATGTTGCTAGTTCCTAAGCTAAATCTCGTGGTGTCGATAGTACTAACTGCCTTCCTGACTTCAGTCTTCCTGATGGTCCAAGTTTGTCTGTTGGAGTCAAGCTGCTACAGAGGGCTGTCTGAAATGGCGGTAGCTCACAGGAGAGCACTATATAGAATAAGCGGGAGCCAGTTTCTAGTCACTGATTCAGAACCTCATGAAGAACCTCGTGGAGACAGCAATACTATCGGGGGAACAAAAGAAGCTAACGTACAGCAGAGCATGGATCATATGTATACGTCTAGAGCACCTTTCAACAACACACCACTTCATCACAATAGTACCCTCCCCAATGAGACTGTCTTAGAAAAGTCAAACCCTCTTGTGTATGAAAAACCGACCGTAACACCGTCACAGAAGATATCCAATGTCTCCCACACTCTTTCTCCTTCGCCGTATTACAGAGTCGTATCGAAAGCAGGCTACGCCATGTTTCGATACTTCCAAGATCAACTTTCCTCCCAACACCACTGCCAGCTACCCAAATGCATGGATCGTTTATCGGAGTTCGACAAGGCTTGGTTTGACTACTGCACACAGAAGAAAACGAAGGCGAAAGGGAAGGAATCATCGGGCGGTAGAGTAAAGGAATTGAAAGGAGAGTGTAGGTTCATGAGTGGAGAGGAGAGGGCTCCAGTGGCTCTGGTTAGCCTACCTGGCAGTGGGAATACCTGGATCAGGGGACTACTGGAGAAGGCCACTGGCATATGTACTGGTGAGCTGATATTTGATGACGGTTTTAGCTGTTAGTACAAAACTCAACTGCTATGAAGAGCTGCTGTGATTTTGGCAATGTGTGTCTAGCTGTCTATCCTCGGGGCAGGTTATGACACCTCTCTACAGAGTAGCTACGGGCAGTGTTAAAGACAATTCATGGTAGTCCCAGCATGTTCTTATTGGACACTCTACTCTATGTGAGCTATACTTACTTGATAGCTATTAGTACAGTTTCTGATGCTGCAGGTTCAATCTACTGTGATGTGCAACTGAGGAAAGCTGGTTTAAACGGAGAAGAGATACGGAGTGGCAGTGTTCTGGTGGTCAAATCTCACAAGGCAAGTTACTCGTGGACCAATGTCACTGTGCCAAAGTATGATAGGAAGGTAAGCAGTATAGCTACTCTATATGTGTTTTGTTATAGTGTTAGTGCCAATTTTTGTTACAAGTCAATGTGAATAGGGGGCAAGACAAGTGTCTGTATTGTATAATACCCAGGTGGCTGCCATAGCACTAGGGCCATAGACCACGCACCCAGAGCAATGGGCGGAACCAGTGTCTGTATTGTAATATTTTCTTACATGTATGAAACTAATTAATGTTTGTCTTTGTTCTCAATGAAAAGGGTGTTCCTAGTTATGGAGCTGTGATTCTGTTACTGCGAAACCCGTACCACGCCCTGGTAGCAGAACGGAATAGGAAAAAGTCGATTACCTCGAACACAAAAACATCTCACACTCGCACCGTTGGCCCAGAGTACTTTGGTATGTGTGTTTAATTATAATCGATTTTTATGATAATATGAGTCTTTTGTTATAGGAACAAATCATGAATGGAGTTTCTTTGTTAAGACAAAGATACTGAAATGGAAGACTTCAATTGAAAGTGTGGTTCTGAAGTCACCACGAGACCTTCCCAAGTTGGTGGTCCGCTACGAGGACTTTCAGAGAGACAGAGTCAGAGAAGTGTCACGTGTGCTGGACTTTCTCCATTTCCCCTACTCTCGTGAGAGTCTGAGTCAGAGACTGGAGGAAGACTTCACCACCTTCCACAGAAATAGACACCCAGAGTTTGAGGCCTTCACACAGGCTCAGGAACAGTTCATAGATCACAGTCTGAGACAAACTCTCGACAGTCTCTCTGCCAGGAACAACGGAGAAACATATGGAATTGAGGAGTATCTTAGAAATACTGCAGTAGCAAGCTAGCTGGCAGTCCTGATTGATGTGATTATATGCAGTGCCCCCCTTGAGTCAAGCAGGAGCTGGCAGAGAATATTATTGGCGAGCGGGAGCGAGCCAATTGTCGTTCGTACGTCGTGTAAGTGAGCATGCGCGGCTTTACCTAGCGCAGGATAGCTGCGTGCAGAGCTACCGAAATACGATGGCCTTTCTCAACTTTCTTCTCGCCGAAGCTCTAGCGGCCGGTCTCGAGAGGGCCGAGGCACAAGAGCGGGAGCAACAACAACTGCCTCCTCCGCCCAATTTCTTCGTGTTACCGCGGGACCCACGGGCTTGGCGCAAGCTTCACGAGGCATGCCGGAAGGAAAACATGGTCATAGCGATTGAGATCACCGACAACAGCAAGACCCACTGCAAAAGAGTCCAGCCCCTGTTCATGAACGAGGCCCGCAAGTTCGAAAGCGTTCCGTTCGTCAGGGTGGAAATCGAGTTTGGTCTCACCTATAAGGAGGTTAGTACTCGCTACCTCAGACTTGTGCTCTAGCTAGCGAGCGTCAGCTACTTAGTAGCTACGCTAAAGCCAGATAATTATACTGTCCTTTATAGAAGAGTATGAGGCTCCAATCAAAACTCCCAATAAAGAACACTGTTGTGTAGATTCCACCCCCTATATACTGCATACAGGTTCCACAGTAATGCTTATTCATTCCTTGATCCAGCTCAGAGATGATCTTGGTGGGGCGGAATACACACCTACCATACTCTTAGTGTTCTTCGGAGTTGACGGTATGCAGGTTGGCAAGGTTGAAGGAGACAGAATGATAGAAGGTGCCATCAAAACTGGCGAAATGGAGAGGCGACTTAGAACGTGAGCACATCACGTCTCTTTATTCAGAGGTGTCCTTAAAAATTTAAAGAGAGGTATATACCCTTTATTCAAAGTGCCCAGTTTCATTATGCTGTGGCTACCCTCTGCCAAAACTCTTTCCTTAGCTTGTCATGGTGCCTATAATACTATACAGACACATACAGCAGAGACTTCGCATCAAGACAGTGGAGCACCTGGCCGAGCAGTTTTCGGCTAGCGGCGTGAAGGACAAGGAGAACATCAAGATGAAGCAAGAGTACGACGAAGACGTGAGGCATCAGTTGGAAGAGTCGGAGCTGAGAAGCCGAGAGAGGCAACAGAAACTTTTGGAGCAGAGAGAGAGAGAAGAAGAGGAGAAGAAGCGGAGAGACGAAGAGATCAAGAAGGTATGTATAGACTAGAACTGATTTGTTTACCAATTTTGTAAACCGTGACATGGTGTATGTCATTGTGCTTCATAATGTATTTTTCATAAATCAAAGGTGCCACCAGTTCTGTATTCGTCGTACAGAACGTTTTTTCCCTACACTTTCACTTTCTTACGGTAAAATTGTCCATGATAATATTATTTACGTCACTGCAGACGCGGCCAGAGAATGTACAAAAGCTGCTGGATTTGGATCTGAGTGTGGCGGGAGTCAAGCACCTCAAGGAAATCATGAAGGGGATGGGTATCTCTTCGGTCGGGATCTTCGAAAAGGCCGATCTCCGTAAACATCTTGTTCAAAGTGTGCCCGAGCTGCGAATGCACCTACAATCCAAGTAATTAAAGCACCATTAACACTGTATCAACATTTTAAGTGTATATACATCCACATTAGGCCCTTTCTGTTCTCTACAAACACACCAATCTTTGTTAGACACAAGCTACGTACTTGCCACTCCATTTATAAGTAATAATACACAGATATTATGTGCGAATGCAGGCTGGAAAACTTGAAAAAAGACGAAGGGCAACTGGACCAAGACCTGAAAGATGCAAAGAAAAAGCTTGACGAGACGCAGGAAGCAATATCCCTAATAGAGAGGGATCTTCGACCACTCTAGCTAACCCAAACATGTGACTGTTTGTATAGATTGATGTCTCCATGTTTACAAAAGATGGTAGCTAGCAGCAGATGGTACAATCGCTGAATATCGTAGAATGTAGCGCATAGTGTATTCAATAGTGCAGAGTTGACATATGATTAACATTGTTTTGTATAATACATATTTCGATTTTAGCGCATGTGTCACTGTGAATAAATGTGGATGAATGAAGCTAGCATATGTGCGTTGATACATGGGTGGTAAAATCATTGGTTTCTTGCAAACTGACAAAGCTGGAAGGTTGTTATGGACATGTGGAACACAGTTTTGAGTGTAATCCAACAAAATTAATAAACGGCTGCTTGCGCTTGACAATGTGTGGCCATAATAATATTATACAGTAATAAAAATACTGTTAATAAAAAAAGTTGAATCCGGGGATAAACCAAAACAAAATGTGACACAAGACAAACTCTGTTTGTAATACAGTAATAATACAAAGTTGAATCTGGGGATAAACGAAAACAAAATGTGACACAAGACAAAACTCTGTTTGTTCTGCACTTCAGAAAACAGTTAGTTCTGGCTGAACCGCTTCAGCAGACTTTCAAAAGATAGCCCAGATGACTCCTGAAGTGAAAGAAATAGCACTACTGAATCGGGCAGGTTTTTGCATGCACTTGGCCTGAACAACATACTGTAAAACCGGAAATATTCACGCTCCATTAAGCGAATTTGGCGTTAAGAAATGAATTAATGGTCCGTCAAAATTGTTTCTATAAGGGGTCAAAGTAACCGCAACTTACAAAACGCTAATATTAATGGCCGCCAATATTTCAGGCAGTACGCGATGCTATAATATAACGTACAGCTTCCCCTTTATCGTCATCATCGTCGTCTTCTTTTCCTCGCTGCTGCTGCTGACCGGCGGAGCGCTGGTGTCTGGTTCGCTCCTGAATCTGCCTCTCCATGTCTCTCTCGAACCTGTCCCTCAGCTCGTCTTCTCTCCTGCGCCTCGCGGCTGCCGCCCCCGCCGCGCCCGCCGCGCTCGCCATTGCCATTCCGAGGGCCAGACGGAGCGCCATCTGCTCCGCCAGCCTCTCGGCCATCCTCAGCTTCACGCGCTGCTCCATGAAGGCTGTGATGAGGGCCTCGGCCGCGCCGCTCCTGATCGCGCCCCGAATCTTGTCGGCGCCTTCGATTTTCGCGATTTTCTTCCTCTCCTCTTCAAAGAGAACGACGAGAATAGTTGGCGTATACTCCACGCCACCGAGATTCCTTCGCAGCTGCAGTGAAAGAGACAATGCGTGCATAGCTAGCGCCAGCCAAAAAACTGCAGCTTTACCTCATCGTACGTACTTCCAAGGCCGATTTCGACCCGCAGAAACGGCACGTTAGAAAATTTTCGGGCCAACTCGATGAAAAGTGGCTGCACGGCCCTGCAGTTTGGTGCCGTGTTGTTATCTCAATAGCAGCCACATCGTTTCTTTCTCTGACGCGGCCTGGAACATGCGCCACGCCCGCGGATCCTTCGGAAGAACGAAGAAGTTCTCGGGTGGCGGCTCTCTGGCCGCCGCCTGGCGTGCGAGTCGGCGCTGATAGCCTCCGCAAGAAGAAGGTCAAGAAACGACATTTTGAACGTTCGGTATACTGCGGGATTATCCACCGAAATGCCGAACAACCACCTTCTACGGCGCCGCGCATTATGCGCATGCGCATAACATTTCGTTTTGCCTGCACACAGCGCAAGCGCAATGCAATGGAGGGGCGGGGAGACTAAACGTCAAGCCAAAACGTAGCGGTTAGAGAACGTACGTAGATAGTTATCCAGCTACACAACAGTCGTTCAGTCGAAGAACTCGGTGCTAATGGCTGATGCGATCGCAATCTCAAAGAGTGAACAGTGAGTAGGCATTGCGATCGCATCAGACACTACTGCGGCAGCGAGCAGAGTAGAGAGGGAGTTGATGGCTTCGAATGCTAGTTCCATCATATAAGCTATCTATGGCACTATGCAGCGTAGTGTGGTACTGTGTTGGCAACACAGAACGCCCAGGGCCTTGCAACTGTGAAACGGATATCAGGTTATGAGTAGTTCAAGCGGATATCAGGTGGATGCTAATGAGTTAGTTCAAGGGCTTGAACTAACTCATTAGTCATCCACCTGATATCCGCTTGAACTACTCATAACCTGATATCCGTTTCACAGTTGCAAGGCCCTGGCGTTCTGTGTGTGCCACCAGTACCACACTAGTGCCATAGCAGCTTCTATGATGGAACTGCCTTCGAAGCCATCACTCCCTCTCTCCCGTCATGAAGCATTTTCGCTGCCGCAGTAGTGTCTGCAGTTGTCTTGTCCTGTACAGGTCAGTCGCACAGGGCGACGAGCCAATGGTGGGGGGCGTTACTAAAGCCTTGCATATACTACTCACTGTATAATACAGGTTCTTGGTGTCTCCCCTACCGCCTACTCAGCAGTCACGGAATCAAGGGCCCGCGACCTCTCCCAGTCGTGGGGAATTACTTGAGCATAAAGAGATGGGTGATACGAACATTATAGTTCCATGTGAACTGCCAGCGAGTCCTACTGTCGCCACTGCTTGTATATAGATTGGACACAATGAGTTTCTGGAGGAGCAGATAGAGAGTTTGGACCTGTATTTGGGTGAGTACCGCTTGCAAAAGAATCGAGATGATCCATGTGGCGATTGCATCATAGTCCCACAACTAACAATACACACCACAGTTACTACGTGGGTGCAGCAGCAGAGTCACTATCACAGATGTCGACTGCTCAAGGAGTAATGTGAAAGAGTTCGACAACTTCAGGGACAGGGGGATGTTTGGTAAGTTAGTCATCAATCTTCCGGCATATCCAACCATACTGTTCAAACTACAGGGCCACCCAATCTCCCCCCGAAAGCGTTGGGACTTTCTCCTGGTCTTGGTGGTAGCTACTGGAGAGACTTGGAAGACTGGGAGACATGCTCTAACTCCATCGTTCTCGGGAATGAAGATGAAACTGGTATATATGTTACCAGAGGATGTTGCCAATAGCTAGCTGTTTCTTCTGCAGATGGTGCCACTACTGAAGAAGAGCTCAGATATTCTACTGGAGAAAATAGGAGAGTTTGCAGAATCTGGGAAAGTGCAGAGATGTTCAGGTAAGTTTAAAACACTGTAGTTTCAGCTTTCCACTGCATCCAGTGCAGTAGCAAACATGGCACTGTACTGTGTGCTATGTGAGGATTCAAATAAGCCGGTGTATTGCGCAAATTTACCTCAAAACACCACCCACGCCAATTACACATCTAACATCGTCAAGTATCACTAAGTACGGTAGTACTTAGTATATAGGGATTGACATGGTACCTAGCATCATAGATGTATGGGGCTATGATAGGGAGTTTTGTTCATCATCTTTCTTCTTCTTCTTCTTCTTCTTCAACCAGCGTAACTCAAAACCGAAAGAGATAAGCCATGAAATTTTGTAGGAATGTACATATCGATAACCACATGTGCTAACGTCATACTTTTTGTTTGTAAACAATGTTTTTACTGTAAACAACAACAAAATTGCCCCAGGCAATACATTATAATGGGCAATACGTTATAATGGGCATACTACATGTGTCAGTGTAACTCACAATTGGTAAGAGTTATGCGACCGAAAGTTTGTATACACAATGTATTCAATAGCCACCATCAAAATCCCAACAATACATGTTTGTAATAATAATAATACTCAGGTGGCTGCCATAGCACTAGGGCCATAGACCACGCACCCAGAGCAATGGGCGGAACCGTTAACACACGAACATACACCATATGAACATGAGGTGTCTGTCTCACCTCCCAGACACCTCAACTCACCCCTTCCACCAGCGACACCCTGCAGCTCCCCAGACGCATCTGAGACTGGGTTGTTGTACACAGGACTATCGCCGTTAGACTACGTAACACGCATTGACCAATCAGATTGCGAGTTTAGCGTTACTATTTTTGTTAGTGACCTCTTCCGCGGTAACTATTCGTAGCCCGGCAACCACGCTTCAATTCGAAGACGCCACGCGCGCGGACGGTGAACCGAGCTTCTGGAGCGGTTCTTCCCACGAATAAACCAGGAACAGGCTCTTCTAGCAGCAGCGCATGACTACTAGAGAGCTAGGAAGACGCTAGAGAAAGCGTACAGGAAAAACGCGCACAGACGGCCGGCCGACGCGATCCCGAAGGGCATCAACGCCTACAACGACACTGCAGCGGGACGGGACTGCGCTGTAGTTCTAAGCTGTTAGACGCGTCGCCTTGGGAAACTACGCGATTAGTGAGCCTCGGAGCCCTTAGTAGCGCCCTCGCTACGCTCGGGACGCCGACAGCTCAGGGCTCCTCGGCTCACTAAATCGCGTAGTTCCCGCGGCTCAGCGTCTAACCTATACATAACCTAACCTTTCTTAGCTCCCAAACATCCACAATAAAATCTTTAACAAGGCCAAGCAAAGAACCAAAATTATCCTCCCACAGTTCACTACCCAATATAAAGGATGCTTTCCTGAAACTATCAAGCGACTGGAAATGCTCAAACCCATCATCCCCAAGCTTCCCCTGCAGGGCAACTAAGAAATTGCTCCTAAGACTACTATATGCTGGACATGTTTGTAAATAACAACAAATAGCCTCAGGCACTTTTCTTTAAATTAACTTCTTCACTTCTCAAACTTTCCAATGGTAGCACGCATAGAGATGAAACTTGGTACGTATGCCTATTATATCATTTCCATGACGATTACATGTTTCCATGACGACCGCATATTGTTCGAAAAGGCCTCAGGCAATTTTCTTTAAATTACTTCTTCACTCCTCAAACTTGCTAATTGTAGCACGCATGGAGGTGAAACTTGGTGCGCATGTGTATTACATCGTTTCCATGACAACTACAACAACAAATAGCCTCAGGCACTTTTCTTTAAAATTACTTCTTCACTCTTCAAACTCGCTAACAGTATCACGCATGGAGATGAAACTTGGTGCGCATGTGTATTACATCGTTTCCTTGACGACCACAACAACAAATAGCCTCAGGCACTTTTCTTTAAAATTACTTCTTCACTCCTCAAACTCGCTAACAGTATCACGCATGGAGATGAAACTTGGTGCGCATGTGTATTACATCGTTTCCATGACGACCACAACAACAAATAGCCTCAGGCAATTTTCTTTAAATTACTTCTTCACTCCTCAAACTTGCTAATTGTAGCACGCATGGAGGTGAAACTTGGTGCGCATGTGTATTACATCGTTTCCATGACGACCACAACAACAAATAGCCTCAGGCACTTTTCTTTAAAATTACTTCTTCACTCCTCAAACTTGCTAACTATAGCACGCATGGAGGTGAAACTTGGTGCGCATGTGTATTACATCGTTTCCATGACGACCACAACAACAAATAGCCTCAGGCACTTTTCTTTATAGGGCTGTTGTAATGACCTGTGGGAGTCCTAACTCCTCGCTAGCATCTCCGTGCTTCCACAAACACAATCCCTATCTTGTCTCCCTTTCTTTTTATACGATCCCTATATGCACTCTTTTTTTAATCCGCAGGATTTTTTATTTACTTGTAGATAGTAAAATTTGCCACGTAGAGTGTATGGAGCATTCACAATGGAGACTCTGATAGCCACTGCCTTTGGTCGCTACGTGAATGTTCTGAGAGGAGAAGCAGACCAGATAACACAGGGGGCCAACGCCATTTTCCGTGCAAACGAAGAGGGGTCACCCAATGCTCCCGACATGCTGATAGCAACTCTGTGTAAGCTTGTGTGTGTGCGTGTGTGTGTGTAGGTGGTATTGGTGTAACTTTTCCCATGAACTTATCAACATGAACTGTTTTGTTTGTAGCCAACTTCCCGTGGCTAGAGCCACTGTTACTGCACATTCTTCGGAGCTCAGATGTGGCAGCTTATGTCAAAACGATGCACAATACGGCCATGGGGCTCATACAGGCTAGGCTGGATAGCACAGAGGCTCCTAAGGTTATTAAATGTTACCAGTGGCTTTTATACACCCTTCAATATGGCATCATGCAATCTCAGGTGAAGGACTTGCTCCAGTTAATGATAGAAACAACAGATGATGAAAGTAGTGATGGTACTAGGTTGACTAGTGAGATAATGGCTGGTTTTTCTGTCGACTTCCTGCTGGCTGGCTACGAGACTACGGCCAACACTCTGAGCTACACCACATACCTCCTGGCAATGAACCCTGATGTACAGGAGAAACTACAGGCAGAGATTGACCAATACTTTGAGGAAGAGCCCGTGAGTGGCACATGTACTATATCTATACTAAACACACCTCTATTGTGCATATAATATTTGCAGGAGGCATCTCTGTATGAAGCAGCTCAGAAGCTCAAGTATTTGGAAATGGTTATCCATGAGTCAATGAGGCTGTATACACCAATACCAAAGTATGGCAACAGCTAATCTCTATGTGTCGGGGAATATAAAGAATTGTACCATTGGCATGCTGGTGTGGCTCTATACCAGCCTTGTGTGTGACACCCTGTGACTCTGGCTGAGTCTCACGTGCATACACTTTTGATTATAATTATAATGAGTAGGCAGTCGGCTACATACAGTACGGGTGCTACACTGGTGTATAGCTCCAGATAAGACTTGGCTATTATATTGAGTTAGCTACCCCCTCCCCCACCCCCAGAGTTTACTGATATTCCATCTCAATGTAGGACTCAACGTCACTGCCAGAAGACGGTGACTGTTAGAGGTGTCACTATCCCTGGAGGAGCTGAAGTGATCATTCCAATTGACGCCATCCATCACATGCCACAATATTGGCCGGACCCTTACAAATTTGATCCTGAGAGGTAACTCCCCTATACCAAAGTAGATCCATGGATCTCTTGTACTATTAATCAGGTTCACAGCTGAGGCAAAGGCAAATCGACACCAGCTGGCTCACATGCCATTTGGCTGGGGTCCACGCAACTGTATTGGACTCAGGTTTGCTCTCCTCGAGACAAAGATTGCACTCATGGAGATACTGAGGAGGTACAGCTTTGCCCGAGGACCAGAGACTCCGGTTTGTGCCCTTGTTGAGTACACAACAACAAACCATTGTTTTTCGCTTACCCCAGGCTAAGCTGGAGCAGATACGTGGCATCACCTCAACGCCAAAAGGCGGAGTGTTTGTCAGGATCATACCGAGAACCTAGGGGGGGAACTTTCTCAGCTGTATGTAGCTAAGTTGGAAGAAGTTAGTTGACTGGATATTTGTAAATGATGACAGAAATTGTAAGAAAATATAATTGTTGTAAAAGCCGATGACAATGTTTGCCAGTTTTCCAACAGGTGGCAGCCATACGTGTACGTACCACCATATCGGAGTCATGCTTCTACGCATGCGCAAAAAATCTGCTAATTATATCTGATTTAGTGGGCGTGTCGAAAGGCAGCATGGATGTCATTGTATCGCTTTTGCTGTCAAGCCTGTGTGTCGCCGTTGCTGCCATCTTTCTTTACAGGTTTGTCTTCATCTCTATGTAACCGCTCTCTAGGCTTAGTTCTGTGTTCTGTACTCATGTGTGGCCGTCGTGGGGCTGCAGGGTCCTTGTTGCTCCATACCGTGTGTGGAGCAATCTTGGAATTAGCGGTCCAAGACCTTTTCCGATTGTTGGGAACGGCCTCGATATAAAGAAAGTAAGTATCGAGGCTTTTACATAGCCAAACATATGGCTAGTAATGTTTCTCGTTGCAGTGTGGCTATGACACATTCTTGAAAAAACAAGTAAAGAAGTTTGGACCAGTTTTTGGGTCAGTTTCTTGTATTGGGTTTGTAACTAAAAGCAGTGGCTACACTACACTGGCTGCAGGTTCTATATAGGTAGAGCTAAAAGAATAGGAATTGTGGACCTGGATCTACTGAAAGAGATCATGGTCAAAGAGTTTGGCAGTTTCAGTGACAGAGGATGGTTGGTAAGGTAGCCTGTGTTTCTTGCACAGGTCATTGTGCCATGGCATGTGACATCAATGAGGTAGAAAGGCAAAGGCAAAGCAAACAAGTCAACAGCACTCCAAAGAGGAGCTGCTCTAGGTGGGATTCGAACCCACAACACTCTGCAGTCTAGGCGAGTGCTCTACCAACTGAGCTACAAGGCAACTCAACCGGCACATGTAGACTCTGCCTCCTAGTAGCTGAGTAGGTGCGCAGCAGAGTTTAAATCCGACGGCATTTTTCAATTGGAGTTCTGGGTTCTTTGCCTTGCGACCTCATTGTTGTTGACAAAGTGAGGGAGTTGTCTGTGCACAATGTGTAGGGTTCAGTTACCCTTGCACCGAAAGCGCTCGGAACTAGTCCTGGTCTGCTGGCATCTACCGGAGAGACCTGGAAGACTGGGAGAACTACTCTCACTCCCTCCTTTTCAAGAATGAAGATGAAACTGGTTAATAAGAAAAGTGGAAGTTTTTGCAGGTGAGAAGTATATTCTATTACTGCCACAGATGGTGCCACTACTGAAGAAGAGCTCAGATGTTCTAGTGGAAAAAATGGGCGAGTTTGCAGAGTCTGGGAAAAGTGTGGAGGTGTTTAGGTATAAGAGCACAGTATTAGTGCATGCACGGAAATACCTTTCTTCACGGGATTATATTATACTAATACAGGGAATATGGATCATTTACTTTGGAGACTCTGATAGCCACTGCCTTTGGTCGCTACGTGAACCTCCAGAGAGGAGAGGCAGACCAGCTCACTGAGGCTGCCAGCATTGTGTTCCATGAGAGTACCGAAGGAGCTTCTCTTGAACCATTTGTACTCTTGATTGGACTCTGTAAGAATAATAGCATGATGTGGCTCACAGTATACAGTGGAACCTCCGAACAAGGGGCACTATGGGGCCAAAGATTTTGTCTCTTGTAGAGAGATGGTCCCTATCTCGGAGGTTTATACACCCAGTTATTAGCATGGAGTTGAAACAAAGTGTCCCTTCTGGAGAGGTCGTCCCTATCTCGGAGGGTCCCTTATCAGAGGTTCCACTGTAGGTTAATATCTTCGTTTCAGCTAACTTTCCTTGGTTGGAGCCACTTCTCAGTCGTGCTATTAGAAGGTCTGCAGCTGGCAAGGCGTGGAAACTGCTGTATGGCACAGGAACCAGACTCATCAGGGACAGAATTGAAAACCCACAGCCACCTAAGGTCCACCTAAAGTCTCATGCTTTCCGGGAAACCTCCCTTTATTTCTATGAAGGCATGTTGCATAACACGTTCTATTCATATATTGTAGGTGAAAGACATGGTCCAGCTAATGATAGATGCAACAGCTGATGAAAAATTTTAGCGGTACTAAGAAACTGGATAGTGAGCAAATGGCTGGTTTTTCTGTCGACTTCCTGCTGGCTGGTTACGAGACTACGGCCAACACTCTGAGCTACACCACATACCTCCTGGCAATGAACCCTGATGTACAGGAGAAACTACAGGCAGAGATTGACCAATACTTTGAGGAAGAGCCCGTGAGTGTATATACCATTTCTTCATATATAGGGCACGGTTAGCTACTATTATTTACACAGGAGATTTCTTTATATGAAGCAGCTCAGAATCTCAAATACTTGGATATGGTATTGAAGGAATCTCTAAGGCTCTACACACCAGTACCAAAGTAAATTATAAACTAACGTGAAGCCTTGGTATTGTTATTAAGTTGGGTCTTTAGGGTTATGCGCCAGTGCTCTAAAACGGTTACTGTTGGAGGAGTAACCATTCCCGAAGGAGCAGGTGTGGTGATTCCAATTGATGTCATTCATCACTTGCCTCAGTATTGGCCTGACCCTTACAAGTTTGATCCTGAGAGGTATGTACATTACAAGGAATATTAGTCCGTTTTGTTTTACTACTGGTGTTCAGGTTTACGGTTGAAGCAGAGGCAAACAGACACCAGCTGGCCCACATGCCATTTGGTTGGGGTCCTCGAAGTTGTCTTGGTATGAGGTTCGCTTTGCTCGAGACGAAGATTGCACTCATGGAGATACTGAGGAAATACAGCTTTGCCCGAGGACCAGAGACTCCAGTTTGTGCCCTAGAATAATGAAAACATGTTTAGCACTTTCTATTTTCAACAGGCCCTCTTGGATCTGGAGCGCGGCTTCACAACAGTGCCAAAAGGTGGCGTGTATGTCAAGATCATACCAAGAAAATAGTCAAAAAACATTTATCCCTATGCATGAAAATTACATCGCAGATCTTGCCATAAATGGGAAGGAAGCGCACGCGCATGCGCATGCGCACACATGCGCAGGTTTACACGGCTACGTCATCCTCAAGGAAGAGGGGAGTCCCCTTTCGTCAGAACTCTCGCAGCCTAGCCGGAAAGACCCTCTCTGATCGCTTGGCTATCGTCCTCCTGGTGCTTAGCCCCCTGTAGCCAGCCGGGGATCTCTCGAAGAGCTCAGCGGCCCACTGCGGGGGCCTTTATTACCGCCTCTTATCGCGGTGGAGGCGAGGTTGTAGTCCGAACTGGACCCAGGACGCGACGTATATACCTGAGATAGCTATCGTTTCAAAGATCCTCATTGGAGAGGAGCCAGTTGTTGTCGAAGGTGAGGACGTCTAGGTATTATTATAAGCCTAAGCTGCTGTGCTACTCGCGTGCGGAAATTGGCGCATTCTCCCTGCGCGCCTTTTTGTAGCTGTGACAGATGCTAGTCTTCATAGCTATGTGTGTGTACTCGAACAATCTTCTAGTTGCAGTGTGAGAGGGCAGTGTTTGCGCAACACACAGCATAAGCTGTGTGTCGGACGTTGTTGTGTTCGGGGTAACCACCTATGTGGGCGCACACTGAAATCATATCCGCCGCGCGTGATTCGCGGCCTCGGGTTAGCTTCCTTTTAGTGCATGTCCGACTCACGGGCCTCCATTTTCGCTCCGCGAGAGTAGCAGTTCCCGTTTATTCATAGCGTGTGTATATAGGTACTACTTTACATGTGTACATATTTTTGCTCCGTTAGATTGATAAGTAGAAGAAAGCTGTTTCAAAGACGATTGATTTTTCACTTGTGAAGATTTGCAGTAACCGCCTTCACAACTCAACTGGCCAATTCAGACTTGTGTCTAGCTGTGAATCTTCGCGTGATACGAAATGTCTGTCGACATCTCACTGTCGCCGACGGAGTCAGACTCTGCCCCTTCCTCCTCATTTGGCTCCATGAGCGAGTCCAGTCTCCCAAAAGACAAGATGGAGCAACTCATCCGCAAGCTACGCTCAGAGAACAAACAGCTGCAGCTTCGTGTACTCGGCGTGAACGAGCTGGCCCGTTTGCTCCAGGACCGCTCCGAGAAAGTCAAAGTCCTCGAAGACAAGAATAAGCGCCTGGAAGTGGCTGTTGTGCGACTCGAGAACCGCTGTGCCAACCTCGATCAGAAACTGCGTGCGGAAGGAGGAGGGGGCGGTCCGCCGTCTGGGCTGAAGTCAATGCAACCGCCGTCCATTCCCGGACCGTCGAGGCAGATACTTGAGGCTCTGATGAAGGAGAATTCAGAGTTGAAGAAGGCGCTGAATGCAATGCAAAAGAAAGGGCCGTCTGGTTACCTGGAGGCAGTGGTGAGTGAAGGGAGTGGGGGGGAGAGAGAGAATAAGTGGTAATTAGGGGGAGGGGTTTGGGGAGAAAGGAGCAAGGGAAGGGAGAGGAGGAGAGAGTGAGGAGAGAGTGAGGAGAGATGGAAGGAGGGTGCGTTCAATGATGGAGGGAGACAGGGAGAGAGTGAGGTTGCTACGTGTGGTTAGCACGTGTGGTATGCTGAATGCTAGGGTGAGCTCCACCAGTTGTTTGTGCTGCTCTCCCTTCAGTTGTGTGTCTGTAAACTGAAAGTGTAGCTCACTGAGAAATGTCCCCTTTCTGAGAGAGATACAACAAACTGAAATGAACACCTGCCACAGGAGCATCACCGTCCCACACAGAGACTCTAGTCTATGTGTTCATACTAATACTAGTGCTTCTAATAGTGCAGAGTACTTCTTTTGCAAGATTTCATTACTTATCTTCCCCCTTTACCGTTGGAGAGTGTGTTTGAAGATTGCAGAAACTCAACTTTGACCTGAACTCTCTTGCACAACTAGTCACGTGTCCTGCACTCTCTATTGGATGAGAAATAACTTTGTAATGGGTTGAGAAATATTCTTGTTCAGAGTGTGTAGTAGCTACAAAGCAGGATAATAATATGATGTACAAGCTAACTAGGGGGATACATTGCTGTAACAATAAAAAGCCTTTGGAGGGGGTATGATAAAGGGCATTTACTTGGAAAAGGAAGAGGGGGAATTATTCCAAAGGGACGGAAGACTGGTGTGAAGGATAAATTATTTTCAGTGAACCCTTCAGTGGGTACTGTCCCTTGTATTGCTGGCTGGCCAAGTCATTGCTTACACCCACTGCTTGCTCACCTGTCCATGTACAGTGGGATCGCGTTGTTGTTGCTGCGAAGCTCTAAAATGAGATCACGTCTGCAGTAATGACCCAGCAATGTGTTGTAATGTCTGGTGGAAGAAGTTATTGCACTGGCGTGTTTCACTTTTTCGGTGATGCAACTGTGACATGAGTCGTCGTGCAGGGCGGTGTTTAAGTCTTAAACGTTGGCTGCAAGTGTTAAGTGTTATAGCTGCTTGCTAAACTGTGGCCATAAAGTGTTGGCTTGCTAGCTTTGGCCGAAGTGTATACAATATACCTTGCTAAATCTTGACCAAACGATTTGCGTTGCTAATCAGTAGATGATGGTGTGGGTAGTGAAAAGAAAGATGTAGCAGCTGGACAGTGCATTGGGCAATACATGTTCACACAGTTTAGGGTTAAAACACTGAGAGAGTAGGTGGTACTGGCCAAGCCCAGTGGAGCATGCACCATACTCTGTGAGGGACCAGACTCGATGCATACATGTACGTATGTGCCTATGCCATGCGACTTTTACAAATTGCGCTGCTATCACAGTTACCACGTCGTTGCAGACCCCAGACCGCGTATATTGTGAGCCAATCTTTAAGAGTTTTTTCTCCTGCAGAAAACGTCTCAGCTGGAGGAGGTGATAGAGCAGCAGAAACAAGAGTTGGAGTTCCTGAGGAGCCAGGTCAACATGCTCACCACCACCCCTCTCCCTCCCTCCTCTGCCGGGAGCAGTGGGAGCGACGCGTCCTCGTCTAGAGCTCCCGGTTCCCCCGGCGATCTGAGACGACAGCTCATCAAAATGCAACACTCTCTGAAGGTCTGATGTAATATTGTATACTGTGAGAATCATGCATGATGTCGTATTGTGACAAACCTAAACTTGTGATTTCATGGCAACACAGTGCAGCATTTTTTTTTATAGTCAAAATGTTCCCCGCAAATTTGTGGATAACCACTTGCAATACGGTATTTTCAAATTGCTTTTTCCACTGAAGTTCTCTACAGTACCTTCATGTTGTGTAACTAATTTGCTGAACGATTCAGCTTTATCGCACGGAGTGTTCTAGAATACTTTTGTTAATGCACCAGACTATCGTGGTTGGGAGTGTTGTCATAGTTTGGAATTTGAGAGATGCGGAGGTCACGAGGAAAGTGGAACTGATGAACAAATAACGGCTTTTTATGGAGACTGTACCGCGTAAAGCTGTGCCCCATACTGAAGTGTGGGGCACAAAATCATTTAGCTCTCTTCATTTAGCTCTCCCTCTCTCTCTCTCTCTCTCTCTCTCTCTCTCCCTCTCTCTCTCTCTCTCTTTCTCTCTCTCTCTCTCCCTCTTCTCCACCCTGCAGGTGAAGGACAGATTCTGCTCCCTCCTGAGTGACCAGGTGGCGTCCCTACAGGACAGACTCAGAGAGATGTCTCTGGACAAGGTCCCTAAAGCCGGAGAAGACGAGGAGGACAAGAAACCACCACCTTCCCAACTGGTAGGAAATATACAACGGCCGGGGTAGATTTACGGTAACAAACATTTTCTCTGCATTGTTTGTAGACAGCCGGTTTGTTTTTAAAAATCCGCAGAGGTTTTCTTTGTGAAGGCCCAATTCTTCCTCATATAATAGACTTAGCCAATAGGCCTGCATGTCTATACCAGATGTATTTGAAGTGTACCGTGTGTGTGTATGTAGCAGCAGTAGTTATCGTATTATAATGTCGTGGAAAAACGGGTGTCTTGCAATCAGTGGGGATTGAGTAATAATCCTCTATAGATGGTGGGGATTTTATCCCTGGCTCTCAGTAGCTCTACCATCTGGCCGGTGGCTGTCCTTGCTAATGAGTGGGCTGCCACAAAGTTAATTAATGCAGTGGGTCACTGATGAAGGTTAATTAGTCTTTTGACTTTCAGGTGGTTTTCATACTTACAGCTCTCACTGCTTGGCACACTTTCTCCACTTCGACCTCACCTTCTTGTACTTTAGTGTTAATAACTGCTAATTGAAGAGAGGTCCAGCATGCCAAGGTGCCATATTGGTGTTAGGACCTGTTTTTCTAGAGGTGTGCTCTATATAGAACTAGGTTAGGGGTTTCTACCTCCTTGTTTGTGACGCATGTGTGCTGCCAGGGCAGGATGTGACCTTATTTGGTCATCTTGTTGAAATTTTTATTACCCAGGGAAATGCCTGCAGCGCAACATCCTTTTCTAGTGTACAGTGTAAACTTCATAATGTAATGGTTGGGTAATTTTGTGAAGAATAATACTTTCATGATGCCAAAGACCTATTACATGTGTAGCATAGCAACAGGGCAACCTATAATCCACGCAGCAGCATCGTTAGTTATACCCAGTTAAGCTGATAAAGTTTAATCATACCTCAAGACAATGTGTTACCACCCTTTATTGACCTGTGCTTACACAACCGCAATAGAATTCACAGGTAGGGCTATATGTTATAGTATCATTCATGATTATTGCTGGTCCTCTAAACAAGGAAATGGGGTTGCCACCTTACCAGATCTGTAATAGCAACAACTATGCCTTATGCACATACACCTGAGTGTAAAAGTATGTATATTATACTGTGTCTAGGTGTGTATACAATAAGCCTGCTATACTGTGTGTAAGTGGCGATAGTGAAAGTCAACACATTAACAGTTTCCTTGTGACACAACCAATATGGAATCATTCGGTTAACCAGCTCCCTGATTCCTTCATTAGAGGACTTTAAGTTAAGTATTAGGGGCACCCCCCCCGTGGTTGATTAACACAGAAAGTAATGCTGAATCTGTCTCGAATTACTTCGACCAAGATTGCAGTCGTGTGTGGCTGTGCCCCAATGTGCTGAATGGACAATGTATGCAGCCACCGTTCGTTTGGTCAGAACTGATTTGAGTTCGGATTTTCGATCGTGTGCCTATTTTTTTTTATTGCTCTATTCCCATTGTATGTGAAACTCTGGGTTGGCACCTTTGGTTACTGGGTGCACTCTTCTTAAAACAAAGAGGGGGTTATTGGTTGTTTACTGCACATAATTATACATACTGTTTATGTGGTTTGGTTGGCTGCAGTTGGATAGCTGACTTACGCATAAGCCAGATGTTTGGTGGATTGCTCGTTATTACGGGGGCCATCCCATACCGCTCTACTAATTTCTTGTTGAGCAAACTAGAGGGGGTGCTGCTATGTAGTAACTCTAGTCTTCATGCTTCACCTAGCAAGCCAGATGCACCTGGCAATGCATGAGGAGTATTGCATGTCTAGGGAGTTAAGGCTGTAGCTGTAATGTGATTCCATGAGGATTTCCCCGGCTCTGAGCTTGTAATTCCTGGCATATTTGTTGGGTCTTTTCCAGCTCCTGTGTTGACAAGATGCTATACACTGTCTTGATTATGTAGGTAGTCCGAAAGGTTGCCTACAGTTTGTCAGTACTTAGTCATTAGTTGAGATTTGTGAGTCTGGTAAGTGGGGCAGCGTCCTGATGACTGAGATGTCCTGATCGGGGAGGTATGGCAAATGGTGTCCTGATAGCTTGTTCAATGCCTCAGTTAATTCTCAATTACTCCACGTTATGCAGGTGGAAATTGAAAGGTCAATCTGCCAGATTAAACCGCCCAGGCCATCATAATTGTGTACCATCAGGAAGTCAGGAAAGCCTGCATACAATTGACATTATTATGGCAGCATATACATACGTTGGGGCATACCCACAGATCTTCAAAGGTGGAAGCGTGTGAAACTTCAATCACTGCACTACACAGACACCTACGTATGTGTGTGTACCTACATAGATCCCAACTCAGGAATCTACTATAATTCCACACTGGCCCTGTGGTGTAGAGTTTCTATACATACACTCTTTGAATGGCAGAGTGCTATGCAGTGGAAAAAACCCCCCCCCTCCATTCATTGAAAGTGTCGCAGAGGGTTGGTATTCACGATGTTGCCCCAACTGGTGATCTCATATGGTACATATGCACCACTTTCTAGCGGTACTATGAGGGTATTTTTGGTCTCTGAGAGTTGTTTGTGTACCATAGAGGTGACCTAAGGTGCTTTGCATATTTCATGCCTGGGTGGAAGGGGGTGGCAGCGAGTTTTCTGGGTAGTTGGTCTTTGCTGTCAGGAAGCTAGATTCTTTTCCTCCTTGCTTGCCTCCCTTTGCTCTTTACCGCTTATTGAATGTCTCAACAACTTGGTAGCGAGGTAGCTACGTAGAAAGGCAAGGCAAACAAGTCAGTGCAAGTTGCAAGCCAGTGCCTCTTAGTGCAGGACATCGGCCTTGAGAACACCATTGCAGCACTTCCCAGCCTTCTTGGGGCCCAGTTTCATTGCACAGGGTTACTATAGAGGTCTCTTTCAGGCATTTGACTCTTGTCTCTACCTGAGACCTGGCTAGTTGCCCTAAATCCCCTTCTCCCCTCTTGTGCCACCTTTTCCTCGATAATATATTACTATATACACACTCAGAATAAGAAATTGTTTTTTAGGGCATACCAAAACAATGGCGGTGCTTTCTGCATCTGTGTACAAACTGTTGGATTTCCAAAGTGAAATATTTACCAGTGACCGCATTTTGTAACCCACATACACACACGGCATGCTAACAGTTCAGGGTGTATAGTACATTGGTACACTACGTGCCTGCATGTTTTGTTTACCAGTGTACCACCTGTAGGGGTGCACCGCAATGTAAGGTGTCAGTCGCCTCACTGTCTGGAGTGATTCTTTGGGAGTAGTAGGGGAACTTGGGTGAGGGAAACCTCTCTCGACTAGGAAGTGGGGGTGATTGTGAGAGAAGACTGATGATAATGAGTCTAGTAGTAGGAGGCAGACTAGGGTTAACTAGGGTCTTTTGGGAAAGAGGGGGTTCATTGTAGACGGCTGTGAATAAGAGTTGAATGTCTGTAAATAAATATCAAGTGGGGCGTTTCAGTGACTCTATATACGTATGTAGAGAGGCTAATGGTCAATGTAGTACGAAGTGTATTGGTCAGTGGAGCAAACACACCTAGTTACGATTTGGGATTGATTTGGCCATCCCATTAATGTGTTACACATCAACTGCTGAAATTGCGCACTTGCGTTCGCTAGCCAAAATGTGCTGCATTCGTTCCACTGACCATTAGTATAGTTGGCCATCAAAGCGATGTTAGTGTGGCTGCATGTCAAGGCTATTGTATGTAGAGGGTACGGTACCTGACTAAAGATTGTAGCCAAAACCCATCTGGCACAGCCAGTGTAGGGAATCCACCAGCACACCTACATTTAGTAGCTCACACTGTGTGCTGATGATTGTGCTGGAAACTCTAGCAGGCTTACCGGTGAGTATGTATAATTGGCAGGTTTAGCAGGCCCACCCGCGCATCTATTTTTCTGAATTGTGCTATTTTTGTGATTTTACACTTGCATTCACTCGCCAAATATGCTTTGCGTTAGTTCGAATACGGTGTGCCCCCTTTTGTTATGTGTGGGGTGTTCATATTGACATTTTGGGAGAGTGATAACCTAGCATGTGAGGTTGGTGATATTGAAAATGATGGAGATTTGGGAGTGAATGGTCTGATTACCAATAGTTTTCAGGGACTACGGAGCTGTTTCATTGTACGAAAACCTTTTTCCTCTTCCTTCCTCTCTCCTAACTCCCTCTCTCTCCTCTCCCTCTCTCCTCTCTCTCTCTCTCCCTCTCCTACAACTCCCTCCCTCCCTCCCTCCTCTCCCTCACCTAACTCCCTCTCTCTCCTCTCCCTCTCTCCTCTCTCTCTCTCCCTCTCCTACAACTCCCTCCCTCCCTCCCTGCTCTCCCTCACCTAACTCCCTCTCTAGCCAAAACCAACACCCGATGTCATCAACGACAACCCCATGATCCAGCAGATAAAAGAAGAGTATTTGAAAAAGAAACAAGAACTCGAAGGTTTGCTATTTTTAATTAGAAGGGGGAGGGGGGAGGAAGCTTTTTATTGTACAAATAATTGTGGAGAACTTAGTGTAATAGGAAGGGTGCCCCTATCTGTGGGTGGTATGGTAGGTATTCTCGCATCTCATTTTTAACACTTGACACACAAGGAAATGAGGGAAAATGTTGACTCTGGAACTGAAAGCAGTATATGGATGTAGGGGGTCATTTAACCCTGATGAAACAGGATGTATGGGGTCATTTAACCCTGATGAAACAGGAGGTGGGTCATTTAACCCTGATGAAACAGGATGTATGGGGTCATTTAACCCTGATGAAATGAGTTGAATGGGGGGAGGGGGCATTTACTGAATCGGGTTGGACTAATTTTAGCCTTAAATTTAAGTGTTTCTCTGAGATGAGTGCTGCTAGTCTCTTGTAGGCTGTTGTTGTTGTTGGCCCCATGCCACCAGAGGTGCTGAATACGAGAGGAGTGAAGGATTAAAGATGTTTTTTGTTAAGAGAGTTGTGTATGGGTGCTGTGTATGCTAGTGAGTGAATTGCACGACTTGTGTGTTAACATGGTTTGTTGGGCAGTGTCTATTGTACATCAGACTCATTACCATTATACGCAGTATTGAGTGCTGGTGGAAGGGGTGAGTTGAGGTGTCTGGGAGGTGAGACAGACACCTCATGTTCATAATATGGTGTATGTTCGTTTGTTAACGGTTCCGCCCATTGCTCTGGGCGCGTGGTCTATGGCCCTAGTGCTATGGCAGCCACCTGAGTATTATTGAGTGCATGTGAAATGTTGAAAATGTGCAGAGCTGTTCTTATAACAATGTTAGGAAAAGTCCCCTCTGTAATAGAGTAAGCTGTATAGTGTGTCAAGGAGGTGTAAGGATTTCGTAAGTCCACCTGTTTGCACAAACAGAGATAATAATCTTCTATTTATGCACATACTCAATTACCTGAGAAATGTGTGCTTCAAAGTATTTGACTCTATTTAACTGAAAGTAATTTTGAATGTGTAACTATGACGAGTAATGTGAAACTCTATTTAACTGAAAGTAATTTTGAAATGTGTAACTATGACGTTACATGAAAGTAATTTTGAAACTCTAATTAACTGAAAGTAATTTTGAAATGCTTTCTAGGTCGCTATGAGCAAGTGATAGACGAGCAGAAGGAGACGCTGCAAAAGGAGAGACATGAGCACACGGCCAATGTCGAGAAACTGCAGAAGGCAGAGCAAGACCTCAAGAAACTGCGACGGGAAATTGGTGGGCATTATATAGAATGATGCTAACGTTTGTATTCACCTTGTTAGAGGATCGGTGAGCATTTTATAGCTATTATGACCTTGTTACTAGATTGGTAGCGCACTATAGTCATGTGTTTCCATCCTTGTTTGGCCTTCATCCCGCTTTTTCCGTTCTTCCTCCCTCCCTTCCCCACCAGATACCCTGGACAAGCGTTGCGAAGATCTCCAGTTCCATAACCACACCCTCCTTGACGACAAGAAACAACTGCAGGAGACTCTGGATCAGATGAAGGCCGCGGGGTCAAGGGTCAACGAGGGAGGCGGACTGGAGAGAGAGCTCAGAGAACTTCAAGATTCCTTCCACCAGAAGGTGAGGCACTGTCACTGTCTACACCGACACACATTAATAGTACAGTACAGTATATAGTGTGTGGATGTACCGGGGTGTGGTTGACCTGTTTGCTTTTTCCTCTGCCTTGCTACCTCGTTGTTGACATACAGTACGTGTGTTCAACGTTAAAGAAGACTCCAGTAATAAGGACACATCTTCAAGGTCTCTCTTTTAAAAGAACAACTGCATGTTAACCCTTACAGGACATCTTGCTACTAGTAAAGAAACTCTGTCACATACGTACATGCCCGGGTCCTTCAAGACTCCAGTATAATGCAGGTTTTCGCAGCGGTGGTAGATGTAGCACTATTTTAACACTTTCTCCCTCCTTCCTCCTCCCTCCTCCCTCCTCCCTCCTTCCTCCTCCCTCCTTCCTCCTCCCTCCTCCCTCCTCCCTCCTTCTCCTCCCTCCTTCCTCCTCCCTCCACCCTCCACCCTCCTCCCGCCTTCCTCCTCCCTCCTTCCTCCTCCCTCCTCCCTCCTCCCTCCTTCCTCCTCCCTCCTTCCTCCTCCCTCCTCCCTCCTCCCTCCTCCCTCCTCCCTCCTCCCTCCTCCCTCCTCCCTCCTCCCTCCTCCCCCTCTTCTCCTGTACTCCCTCTCTCTGCACAGGTAATGGAGCACTCGGAAGAACTGAAAACAAGGACAAGGAGGTGCAGCATCTTCGCATGCTACAAGAAGACATTGAATACAAGTACGTCATTGCTGACAGCAAGCTGAGTGGGATAGAGAAAGAACACGGGCAGAAAATGAGCGACTTCAAAGATAAGGTGAGTCAGTTGGTTCTTCATATGGATACAGTGGAGCCTCGTTAATACGAATACTGTTAATACGAACACTTTTTGATGGTCCCCTGGAGTTCATATTTGACGAGGTTCGACTGTATGTAAGACTAAGTTTTGAGTAACGAAATCTGCTGGTGAGCATTTCTCATTGTTACCTGCTAGAAACCACACCCCCAATACACCATGGAAACACACACACACACAAACTGTTAAACTAGTACAAACTAGACTTGCGAGAGTGAGATACCAGATGCCCAGCCTTGAGAACTGAGGGCAGGGGGTTTTAAGCCAACTCTCCCCACGAACCTGGTACCAAACTGTCGTTCTCCGCACGACCAAACAGAGTTGACGGGATATGTGGCGAGAATGTTTGTGGAGATTTTTAGAGATAGTCTTTAACCATGAGTGAAACACTTTTGTGGATAGAAGAGTATAAAAGGTGAAACATGAAAATCTCAAATGTATGGGCATAATGCAGGATGACCTGTGTCATCCCTATATACTGCACACATTTCGGAAGACCTGAGAGCCCTTTCGAAGGAATTTCCAACATCGATCGGAGTTTTAAAAGTCACGGCGAAGTAGTACCGTACTTAGTGTGTGGAGTGGTCTATTGTTTAACTGAAGTCTCTCTGCATAGTGTGTTGATTTACTATAGCTCTGTATACATACTCTGTGTGGAGTGGTCTATTGTTTAACTGGGTAGTGTGTTGATTTACTATAGCATACTCTGTGTGATTGTTTAACTGGGTAGTGTGTTGATTTACTATAGCTCTGTATACATACTCTGTGTGATTGTTTAACTGGGTAGTGTGTTGATTTACTGTAGCTCTCTCTGACCTTCACAGCTGGCCTACATGGACATGGACTGTTCTTCCAAACAGAACGAGATTGAGCGCCTGCAAGAAACGAACCTTCAGCTGAAGATGGAAAACAACAACCTCAGAAGCAAAGCAGTACGTTATACATATATGAAAGCACCTCGGTATGCAGTGGGGAACCCCTCTAATTCGGACACCAATGAGACAGAGCATAGTGTCAGCGTTGTTCCTCTAATTCGGACACCAATGAGACAGAGCATAGTGTCAGCGTTGTTCCTCTAATTCGGACACCAATGAGACAGAGCATAGTGTCAGCGTTGTTCACACACTTCAGATGTAGTGTGAAATTGTGTGCAAGAACTGTTATTTGGGGGGGGATGTAAAGCCGGTCTTCATTTGAACGTTATAGAAGGGTTTGACTGTGGTGTACTATGTTAGATATTGTGTGTATGAATGTTGGAGGGATTTACCTCGTTGCATCGGCCATGACCACGTGATAAATTCGAGGGGAGAATGAAGAGCAAGATGTGCCTAACAAGACACCAAAACACTTTTTGAAGATGGAAGTTTCCCTAGCAACAAGTGTAGTACGCTCTTTTACTCTCCCCACATTTTATCACGTTTTGCCGACGCTCTTTTTGACCAAAAGCTACCAGCAGTTATAGTACTAACTATTCTGCTCCGTTTATAGTCTGCTCCTGCGCCGCCCGCTGCATTTGCTCGCGATGTGACCCAGACTTTGCCTCTCTCTCCGTCCCTCTTCCTCCCGCAAAACCTACAGAACATGGTGGCTGTTAAAGATGGGGTAAATCTGCTCTCTCTCTTTCTGTCCCTCTATTTTCCCATGTGCATACTTTCCCCCTGGTCTACATTGTCACTTTCCCTCTCCCTTTTGGCATAGTACATCTACTTGTCTATGGATACTTGTATACCTTTATCCCTCCCTCCCTCTTTCTTGCTCCCTCATTTCCTTTCTTTCTCTTCACTCCGTCACTTCATCCCCCTTCCCCCCACTCTCTTTTCAGGGAGCTAGTGGATACACTGACCCAACTGTCACAAGGCCTTCGACTCGTCTCCCTGCTGAAAGATGTGACACTGGCCACCTTCAGACCTACCTTCCGAAGGAGATCCTCGTGTCCCGCAACCCAGAGGATGAGCCACCTCAGTCCCAGCCTCCGACCAGCCAGGGGTCCCAGCACATGGTGGGGAGCAGCACTCACCCAAGTTCACTGACCTTCCGAACCCAGACGACCCCGCCCCACCACGCCTCTCCTTCCTCGGCTGCCACGCCCCACCAGTCCGTCCACCCCGGTCGACGCTCTCCCGTGTCCCCGTTTAACCAGACGGCCCCTCCACTCGTGCCCCGCCCGACACACCCCCAGCAGCACCCCTACTCCGCCCACTCCACCCAGCTGTACCATCTCTCGGCAAGCTATTCCCCACAGATGAGGAACACCCACCCTGTCCCTCAGACGCACTATGACCCCTCCCTCATTCCCGGCGGGCCACACCCCCTTCCCGGAAAACCCTACTCCCCTGCTGCTGGATTCGGAGGTCAAGGCTCACGGCCCCTGCAATCGGGGTCCCCTGTTCCACCGGGGGCCATGGGGAGTCCCCCCCAGAGACCCCTGATGGATAACGAACCACACACACCGCACGGTTACCATGGCGACCCGTCAGGCTCCGCCCACCATCACCACCATCCTCCGAGGAGAAGCTAAATTCTCACTCCAGTGTTCTGAGAGGGCCATCGCGATTATTGACCTCTGGTATAATACTACATGTATATACCTTCGCTCCTTTTGGTATATATAATACAATATACTGCTGCTGTGTTTTAATCAGATGTAATTTTGGTAGGTTGGTAAGCTATTTTACGTACTAAGTTTGCTGCAATTTATTTTCACTTTGTTCTTTGTCATTTTACTGATTCTTATACCATTGCACATCGAATGCACGTATTTTGTAAAAATAGATTTTTGTGTGTGACTGACTTGGAAGGAGCAGTATGAATTGGTCGCATCTCTCTATAGTTGTAGGTAAAATGTTGGTGAATGAACTTATATAGTGATATCCAACACTGCAATAATTAAAGTGCAAACCTCGGCGAACTGCGCATGCGCGGTAGGCCTACTGCTAATTGATGGGCTGGGCTAGGCTATTAGGCGTTTACTCGTGGTCTCCCGCCTGACACGGACTAGTTACAGAAGTAGATAGCATGCGGGAGTCGATACATGCCGTTCGTTGTGACTTCCTGAGCCTCCATGGTACACAGAGCGAGCGGATCAGGTCGCGGTACGATTATGCATATTGGCTTTTTCGCTTGTTTGAATGGATTTCTATTTTTCAGTGAAGTCGCTGGTATCGCTAATTGGCCGCCTCGTAGCCTGTAGTGCCAGAATAAGCGTCGACACAGACAGACAGACAAACCAACTATGTAACCCTCGCTGCGCATGCGCGCCGAGGGTTACAATCAAGTTTCCATGCAACTTACACATGTGAAAGCATCAAGTAAAAATAGGGACAGGGACAAGTTTGAATTTGTGAATGAATTACGTAGTACAATGAATAGAGAATTTGCACACGCGATATGGCGACGATTAGCCACACCAGAACCGCACGAGAGCATTACGCGCAACATGCATTGCCCTCTTCAGGTGCCTAAAAAGAGTTATACAGTAGTTCCAGGGAGATTTCCAAGCAGTCTCCTGCTGCATGTTGCATAGCAGGTTTCTCATATGAAATGAGGTGTGGAAAACAGTTACTTCAGAGGGCGAGTAAATAAATCAGCAATGAATTACAGAAAATTATTGTGTGCACCATTTCATCTCAAAGAGAGTGCCACATAACCGTGACAACAAGCACTAAAGCTGGTTTCTTTATATAAAACAGATCTGTTAGGAAAATAATGTCACATAAATATTATGAAGAACAATTATGTTGCTTTTGGGTATATACACAAAAAAAACAAAGACGGTGCGAATAATTATTATGAGTGCCACGAGAGAGATCTAGAGAGAAGATACAATTTCTGTCAAAGAAACAGAGAGCTTTCATCATGATACAATGGAGGAAAACAAAGATGCAGCATGTACAAGAATCATACAAGACACATAGACTAAGCAATGCAGTATCATCAGCAGCAAGTTGTTTGTGTGGAGACGGGGTGAAGCAGGAGGGCGCGAGTCGGATCCACCTGGTGGCTTGGTCGGACTCTGTGGGGCTTGGCACCCGATGCCACGGCCTTCCAGACCAGGCAAGGGTCGTCGTGGATAACAGAGAGGGCCACTTCTCCAAAGTGCTCTATGACCTGGAGTGGGTTATTATTAGTGGGTGGAGTTAGAGTTGTACAGGATTTTGTTGTGGAGTGGAACACCTGTTCTGCTAACATTAGAGGAAGAGTTTAAAAAACTGGCTGTGTTTTTGATGAGCGTCTTCGGGCACCTTAACCCGGCGTTCAGTTCATGCCGCATTACATTTCTGGGCTATATTGGGTAGGTTCCTCATATATAAGCCATCACGAAAACCTATTCCATATTCCCATTCCTATTCTTAGTTCCACTGGTTCCTATTAGTTACTATGGTTCCCTACCCTATATTGGAACTGATGAGGAGTGAGGAATACTTTTCTGTCCCGTAATAGAGTGTGTTGTCCTGTATAATTATGGTTTCGAATCTACAGTTATGACCTACTAGAACTACATATGCTACGAAGAACTGTAAAAGTGCTAGCCCTTAGCTATCATTAATAAGTCTGGAGAAGTAACGAGAGAGAGAGAATACTTTGACACGGTAAAGAGGGAACTTACTGGGATGTGCTGTCTCGCAAGGTTCAAGAGGTCACTGTACGTCATTCCATTCCGGTGTGGAACGGAACCCAGCCAGCCATTGAGCATGGCATGTGGCATGGAATTGATGTCTGTTCTCAGCATCTCTTTGCCCAGGTATATGTCCACCATTGATTGGTGGGTGTGGCTTTCTCTCTGCAGACGATCCAGAACTGCGTGACTTGGTGAGTCTGAGGCAGTGAGGGAGGGGAGAGGGAAGGCAGTAAAGAATGAATTACTCACTTATACTCTATGCGATTCTATGCTCTGAACAATACAGTAGCATATGGCATTGCTCTTAAAAAATAGCCACAGCTTACATCGAAGTGGACGTAGCCTCAAAAAGTTCGGATAAGTGAGGTTTCAATACATTATACAAACGGGGTGGACTGGTTAGGTATAAACTGCTGTAAATCCCAAAGTTTACAACGCTTAATAGAGTAGCATTGCAAAATATTATTATGCTTACATCCAAGTTGCCTGACGATACGAGACCTCTGGTACTGACTGGTTGTCTCCGAGACAGCAGCCAGGTAAGCGAGGTCTTTGGCTGACAGACGGGACGACGCCGGCTGGAGGCAGCCGACCAGGAGCTGCCTCACTCCTGCCCCGCCCTCTGCCACGCCCCCCTCTCCCACCCGACTCGTTAGGAACGCCGGCAGTGGGTGGAGTCTCTCGTTTTGCTCACCAATCTGTAAGGATTATATCAACAATACTTTACACAATCTCTAAATGCCTTAATACATACACATGTTGTACTATGCATATTATTATACAAAATGTGTGAAGTAAAATGAAGTTTGTAACACGCAGAGCAGGAGCAAAGTTTGTATATATATAGAGAGAAGAAAACAAAACAAACTGCACTGGCAAACCCAGTGACATCTTTACAGTACTTGGTAATAAGGGAGAGAGAGTAATGTCATAGAGTAAAGAGGCAAAGAGTGTTCCGCCCCCCTCCCCCCCAACTCACAATCTGACAGCATCTTTTCTTGAGGAGGCCGGCCAGTCCAGGCCCCGCCTTCTGCTTGTCTACGTCCATGCAGAGATGTCTCCAGGGACGACGACCCGTCACCATGAACAGCACACTGCAGCCTGCCTGCCAGATGTCCATCCCGAAGCTGCAGTTTCCACTGCAGTAGAACTGTTAGGGCGGAGAGAGAGAGGGGAGGGGGGAGGGGGTGACAATATTCAGTCCATAGAGGTCTGTAAAATTGAGTGTGCACTGAACTACTTGCTATTTGCTGCGACTCTATCAACTCTCAATGGCACCTCCGAAAAATGGCACTTCTCTGTATATATAGGACATTTGCCTGAGGCTGTTTGTTGTTGTTGTTGTTGTTGTAATTTCGGTTTCGAAGAACTCTTTTCGTAGTAAATCAGTGTATTGCATCTTCCCTGTGCTAATATATACTCAACCTCCAAATATAGCAAATCTCTGCAAAAAGGACACGTGTAGACTATTAGAGATTCCTCGGTGGTATGTATGTCTCAACAACTCGGTAACAACTTTGAACCCACGACACAGTATGTATGTATGGCACTCACATCGGGTGGGTTGTACCAGAGTGTCCCGGCGTCCTTGTTCTCGGGCAATCCCTTCCTGTGACAGCCCTCGTCCAGGAGCTCCGCACACCCAAAGTCTGCCACCTTTAACCTCTGACAGTTGTAGTCGATGAGGAGATTGGCAGCTGAAGTGACAAAGAAAAAAGGGGCAAGATCAGTAACACACTCCCAGCACAGGAGAAGGCTGAATTGGACTTTCATCGAAGAAGATCGTAAGCTTTCTTTAGGGTCATTTGTGCTGGTTTTCTTGGCAATATATTGTGCCTAGGGACTATTATTTGTCCAACAGAACAGAAACATTTTAGAGTTAAAACTCTCGTGGGCAGCTCAGTGCCCTGCAAGATGCACTTCTGCGCTTCTATCGCTCAATCTCAATCTACATGATCCCTCCCTCTTTCTCCCACTCTCCCTCTCACGTTTGATGTCGCAGTGGATGACCCTGAGCTCCTGGTGCAGGTAGTCCAGAGCTTCAAACAGCTGGAAGGAGTAGTTGAGAGTGGTGTCAGGTGGAAGAGGACCGTTCTCAAACACATACTCCTGTAGACAACCTGTGTAAAACAGACCGAGAATATGGTTAGAGAGCTTCAATTGGTTGAGTGGGTTGAAGATTATATTATTACAGAGTGGGTGTCACATAAAATATGCATGTCAACTGCTGGGGAAGCTGTGATGGGCATCAAGTTCGATTTGTCTAAACAGGTTTACTTAATCTTTAGGGTCCATAGCGCCATTTGGCAACAATTATTGCGGACCAGGCCACCTACATACAGAATAGGTGGGCTCGCTTCACTTGCTACTAGCAAGGGGAAATTCTCTTTGTGGTTGCTTTTCTCTCCTGTGCGTGGCAAGGTGTGGGAATGAAGCTAGAAGCTGACCTGGCATTAGCTCCAGGAAGAGCTGCAGACGATTGCTGCCAGAGTAGTGAGGCAAGATGGACGCTCCGAAGAACTCTACAATGTTGGGCGGGGCATCGCTAACGAGGCGAGCCAGCGTGAGGCAGATGAACGCTTCGTCCAGTGCCTTTTTGTTCTCCACCTCCTGCACAATACAAAGAACAACATCCATAATCATTAACATTCCATAGATAAGTTTGAGCATGGCCAGTATTATTTTTTCTCTCTTTCGGATATCCCATTGCCATGTTACATACGATTGACCCGTGTTTGTTCTCAAAGGGCAGGGTATGTAGTTTGGAACTGCGTCCATAGACAGCCGGCCCACTTTTTTCAACTTTTAGAATTTACTTCTTTTGCCTAAAATATTATTTTTTACTGCTGCAATTTGTTTTCAACCTTAGATTTGCCTAAAACGATCGATGGATAATTCGTATTATTTTTGTATACTTTTTGCCTAAAACAATAGTGTGTGCTATGGCACAATACACTCTCCCGTCCATGTACCTCTTTCAGACAGAGGGCGTAGTTGTTGACGCAGTCCTCGATGCAGAAGCATTTGGCCTGTCCTCCGTGGCCTATCTGCCTCACTCTCCTCCAGTGGATGTGTTCACTGTACGTCTGCTGCAGGTAGAACTGTCCTTGTAGGTACTGAGGAAGAGGAGGGGAGAGGAGGAGGACCAAAAGAGAGAGGGAGGGAGAGGAGGAAGGGAAAGGAGTATAAGGGAGAGGGAGAGAGAGAAGGAAGGAAAAGGAATAGAAGGGAGTGGACAGGGAGAGGGAGGGAGAGAAGAGAGAGAGAGAGGGAAAGGAAAAGAAAGGAGAGAACATATGTATTGCTGTGTAACTTGCTACAATACCTGTAGACACAAGACAATGTGACTTACAACGCTGCATACCTAAGCTCTTGCACATTACACGTGGTATGTGTGAAATATTTGTGGCCAGGGACAAGCAACCCACAAAACCTTTCAACTTTCATATTGATGTCTCCCCCCCCCTTTAGCAACTAACGGTTCCAATTTTTTCAATTTACACAGTGGTGTACATTATAATATGTATGTACACACCTCTTTTACAGAGTCTCTATGGTCCAGAGTCCTGCTGATGGTGTCACTGTCTTCGGTGAACGTGGGGGACTGCTGTGCTCTGAGCTTGTCCTCGGGGTAGCTCGGTGGTAGCTGGTCGTGCGGTGTAGGTCGACCCACCGTCTGGGGTCCACTCTCCAGCGCTGAACCTCCGTAGCTCTCTGGGAGTTAAGACATATATTATGATGCATACATTAGCCACCCAGCATATACAGCTAGTGTAGATGTATGAGACAATGTTCATACTTACTACAACGATCGAATGCAATGCATTCTTGGCGAGCAAAGCCGAGAATATTGTATATTTGCACGTATTTCACACATATTTAGAATCGCGCACACAGAACATGGTATGGTATGCTCAGTGCCGGTCAACGGATCAGACGACTAGGCAGGCTCGCTTCCGTCGCCAACAAGTTAGAGTACATGCTGATATTAGACTATGGTGCAATGACCTTATGGCACCCTCTGAACTTCACCATCGCAGTATAGAACCTTCTCAGGAAAACTCTTCTTTGTATATTCTAGTTGTGCCTATTCCATCTGAATTCCATACTAGAGGACTAGGTATCCCCCTATACTAACGAAGTACTACTGATACCTAAGAATACCATACATACCTCTCCAGTTGTAGTCAACATGAACTGATTGGCCTGCCTCAACCTCAGTAGGAGGTCTAGGATCACTAGTGTACAGTGGTCGTCCCTTGTTATTCAGCATCGTGATCTCATCTTTGTACGCGTCTTGCAGTCTGTCTGTTAGGTTGCAGAGCTCCTAGTGAAAAGAAAGGAGGGAAGGAAGGGAGGAGGGATAGGAGAGAGGGAAAGAGAGATAGGGATAAGGTGTGGCACAGAGGAGAGAAAGAAAAATCAACGGACAGCAATGCCATGATGAAGAAATGTTCAGTAACAAAAGAGTACAAGTAGTTTTTCGTGCACACCATAGGACAATTTTTCACTAAGGCCAAGAAAGACAGAAAAA